TCGCAGCCGGCCGTGACCGGGAGACCCATGAGGCAGTGCCAGCGTCATGAGGGTTTGGCTGCCCGGGATTTCCTTGTCCCATCGTGACTCCTTGTGGCGGGCCGGGGACATGCACGCTGACGATGGTCGCCAGCTGTACGGCGTTTTTCCTCTGACACATTGGTGCGGCTGGCTTCCGGGTTAAGCGAGCAGTGCGGCTTGGCGGGGTCGTGTTTCGGAGGATGCATGGCTCTCGATCTTTGCCTCTCCCGAGTCCATATGGGAGTTGCAGCGATGGGACAAGACTGTAACTACCAATTGGATATCACGAAAAAGGGATAAAAAAGAATAAAAACAGTCCGTTCCATCTCATGCCGAAGATGCTGTATTGGGTTGAGGTCTGGGGACTGCGCAGGCCACTCAAGTAAACTGTCTGTAGGAGTGATCCATTTTCGTGAACGGGGTGGTGTACCAAATAAACTGGAATGTACAGTGCATTCAGAAAGTATTCAGACTCCTTGACTTTTTCCACATTTTGTTTTACGTTAACAGCCTTATTCTAAAATGGATGAAATCGTTTTTTCCCCCTCATCAACCTATACACAATACCCCATAATGACAAAGCAAAAACAGGTCTTTAGAAACTTTTGCTAATGTATTAAAAAAATTATTATAATAATATCACATTTACATAAGTATTCAGACCCTCTGTCAGGTTGGATGGGGAGTGTCGCTGCACAGCTATTTTCAGGTCTCTCCACAGATGTTCGATTGGGTTCAAGTCTGGGCTCTGGCTGGGCCACTCAAGGACATTCAGAGACTTGTCCCGAAGCCACTTATGCGTTGTCTTGGCTGTGTGCGTAGGGTTGTTGTCCTGTTGGAAGGTGAACCTTCGCCCCAGTATGAGGTCCTGAGCGCTCTGGAGCAGGTTTTCATCAAGGATCTCTCTGTATTTTGCTCCGTTCATCTTTCCCTCAATCCTGACTAGTCTCCCAGTCCCTGCCACTGAAAAACATCCCCACAGCATGATGTTGCCACCACCATGCTTACATTTACATTTAAGTCATTTAGCAGACGCTCTTATCCAGAGCGACTTACAGTTAGTGAATACATATATATATATATATATATATTTTTATACTGGCCCCCCGTGGGAAACGAACCCACAACCCTGGCGTTGCAAACGCCATGCTCTATCAACTGAGCTACATCCCTGCCGGCCATTCCCTCCCCTACCCTGGACGACGCTGGGCCAATTGTGCGCCGCCCATGAGTCTCCCGGTCGCGGCCGGCTGCGACAGAGCCTGGATTCGAACCAGGATCTCTAGTGGCACAGTTAGCACTGCGATGCAGTGCCTTAGACCACTGCGCCACTCAGGAGTACACCGTAGGGATGGTGCCAGGTTTCCTCCAGATGTGATGACGCTTGGCATTCAGGCCAAAGAGTTCAATCTTGGTTTCATCAGACCAGAGAATCTTGTTTCTCATGGTCTGAGAGTCTGTAGGTACCTTTTGGCAAACTCCAAGTGGGTTGTCATGTGCCTTTTACTGAGGAGCTTCCGTCTGGCCACTCTACCATAAAGGCCTGATTGGTGGAGTGCTGCAGAGATGGTTGTCCTTCTGGAAGGTTCTCCCATCTCCACAGAGGAACTCTGGAGTTCTGTCAGAGTGACCATCAGGTTTTTGGTCACCTCCCTGACCAAGGCCCTTCTCCCCCGATTGCTCAGTTGGCCGGGCGGCCAGCTCTAGGAAGAGTCTTGGTGCTTCCAAACTTCTTCCATTTAAGAATGATGGAGGCCACTGTGTTCCTGGGGACCTTCATTGCTGCAGAAATGTTTTGGTACCCTTCCCCAGATCTGTGCCTCGACACAATCCTATCTCAGAGCTCTGCGGACAATTCCTTCGACCTCATGGCTTGTTTTTGCTCTGACATGCACTGTCCACTGTGGGACCTTACGTAGACAGGTGTGTGCCTTTCCAAATCATGTCCAATCAGTTGAATTTACCACAGTTGGACTCCAATCAAGTTGTAGAAACATCTCAAGGATGATCAATGGAAACAGGATGCACCTGAGCTCAATTTCGAGTCTCATAGCAAAGGGTCTGAATACTTATGTAAATAAGGTATTTCTGTTTTTGTTATCTAAAAACCAGTTTTCACTTTGTCATTATGTGGTATTGTGTGTAGACTGATGAGGGGGGGAAAGTATTGAATACATTTTAGAATAAGGCTGTAACGTAACAAAATGTGGAAAAAGTCAAGGGGTCTGAATACTTTCCGAATGCACTGTATATATCAAAATAGGAGAAAATGGGGTTGGAAGGTTTTTCTACGATACACAAATAACTGCACTTTCATTTTCATCAAGGGTTACCATCCTCATTTTCAACCTCTACTGTTGCTTTGGTTTAGTCTGTTTACTTTACAGGCAGCATGAGCAGAAAGTTGAAAACTACTACCACTACGTGGTCTCTTAAGTCTATGGAGTTGGTCATATTGGTCAACAAGTCATATTCTATTTGATATTCTTATTCATGTTCTATTTTTTCCTTGACTCTGCATCCTACAAACACCCATGTCCTGCTTCCCAATTAGACCCATTCAATGATTGAGAATCCCCATCCTATTATGGTGATGGAGCACTTTTTTGCACTCACATTCACTGTAGATACAGGCAAGGATGGGGATGTCTATTTTCCTTTCCCTTACCACACAAATGGCTGTCTATACAAAGCCAATACTTATGTGATTAGAAAATGTCTTGTCATGGAAGCAAATGCAGGGAGGTCTTTTTTTGTTGTTGGGGGGGGGTTGGTTTACTAGACATTTCCTGGAGGTTGCCATTTGCGGGATGCAATTGAAAGCAAGTTGCGAGGCAGATATTGAGAGGACGGAGAAAAAACTGCATGGCTGGAATTTTGTCTAGATAATTATGAGATCATAGTAAGAGATTATAAAGGGTCATACATGCATATAAGTCTTACAATGCATTATAGCTACAGGCTTTAAGTAAAGTGTTGCCCAATGGTTTATCAAAAATATAGGTATTCTTTCCTTAGAATTTTTACCACTGGACATTCTGATGGAAATTCACATAAATCTAACTGATCTTAAATTGTGTGATTCTAGGACTTTCCTGTGAATGTAAATAATTGCCTAACCACAATACAAAACACATTTTTCCTGATAGAATACCTAACAATTCCAGGGGACGTATTCATAAATCATCACAGGAGCGCTGATTTAGGATCGAATTTGCCTATTATATCATAATGAATGAGACTTCATGGACAGGCGGGACCTGATCCTAGACCAGCACGCCTACATCGAGGCACATGAATACTGGCGCTGAAATAACGAGGTGTACCACTCCTTCGAGTTTACAGTGCTCCATATTGTGTGACGTAGCCTATAGGACTGGGGCACCCCCAGCTGTCTCTCTCATTGTGATGAATTTGTGCTGCTATCCCCTCAAAACCACCCAGGTCACGTGACTCTCTTTGTCCCGTCTCCACGCCAGCCTCGCAAGAGAGGAGCGGCCCCCACCAGGGAAGAGGCAACAGCTGTTGAATGGGGACCAGTGATCCCATAGAGCTGCTGCACCTTGCAAGTCACTATCAAGATGGATGAGAACAATCTCCAGACGTGTTCCCTGCTCAGCGGACGACAGCGTACTTCTTAAAGGAGTCCCCCCCCCCCCCCCCCATTTGTTTTCCTATCTATCCGGGGTGGGTGGCTTTTGCTGGCTGATTCAATGCCGCTTCACACTATCTGGCTTTAAAAATGACAAAATCCAGTGGAATCAGATCAGGAGGGCCATCTTTCTTCTAATTTCATGAAAATCTGCATGACACTACAGAATTATTTCCATCAAAGCAAAGTGTCACATTTGACATTGGCCACAGAAAAAGATGGGGAATTTGTAGTACATTCTGAGATTTGTTTGCAAGGTGTCTGCAATCTTTTTGGTAACACTATAGGGATCAAATTAGGCACACGTTGTCTCATTTAGGGAATAATATAAGACATGGAAACAAACGGAATAAGTACAGTAAATGGTTCATACCCAATGAAGGTCTAATAAGCTATTATGTGACTACACTAAAGTGTTAACATCTGTTATCTAATTTGATAGATGTTTTGAAGTGAAAAACAGAACCCTCAAGAGCAGGGAGCCCATATACTTTGGTAGTATACACTTCCATTCTCTCTAGCGTAACATTTCTATACAACTTGGTTAGCGGTTTAGAATATGCTGATGCAAATTCCATAGAAGACCTTTTAGGTATCCATAGGATTAGGTAAATATAATTTGAATTAACTACACCTTTAAAACCAGAATGGATACCACTTTGGCATCATAACATTGTTCCTGCACTAAAAAAATGCACTCTCAGGCATGTGATAACACAAGATACTCAAAAGAAAAATGCACTTATTTTGAATTCAGTTCAAACATTCAGTTTGATAGAGTAGACCGAATGTTATCATTCCACGGTGCGGGTTCGACTGAATGCCGCCCTTACCAAAATGGATTGAGAATCAGAAGAAGACAAACACATGCAAAAGTAACGAGGTTTAATTCAAATAAAACCATGCACAGGTCACCGTCACCCAGATCAGAGATTCACACCAGTTATCAAATAAACAACTAAAGCCATACGTTGCATTCAGTGAGCCCACTGTATGAGATGACCTCTAGGAGTACATAGGTCAGCCCTAAAGATGAAACAAAAGCTCATCGTTCTCCACACAATAATGTGGTGAACCTGAAAAAAATTTGCAAAGCACAAAAGATCAGCATTTCAAACCCCATGTACTTTAAGACAAAATTAAGATAACCTTTATTCCCCCCCATCCCATGTACCGTACATGCGCCAAGACCGATAAATTCACATAATCGGGATCAAAAAGCTGGTTACTCAGTTTGAGACCAATGCTAGCCTGAAAAATAGCAAGAAACGTTCCTTTTTTGCCAAAGGTGGATCAAACATACACGTTTTTTTTTGTGGGGGGGGGGGGGGGGGCACACACAATGTTTCTTTATTAGCTTTCTGAAACAGACACTGGCAAGACTATGCTGTAGATCCCAAGCCACTGCTCCTGACCTGCCAAGTCCAACTGGGTGAGCAGAATCATTGCAGCAAAATTAAGAGCCGAACAGTGAAAACTTTCCCGACCACATTGCAGTGGGGGCACAGGTCTACTTTTCTTTTGCGGCGCAGCAAGTCATCTTGATTTCCACCCTTGTTATACCTAGAGTAAATGCCACCACCCTTAGTTGAAGAACCCAGCACACACATAAGATAGGTACACTCAATAAGATCATTTATGTTATTTTACAATCTGGATGTAGAACACAAAGATAAAAAATAAAATAAAAAAAAGATTAGTAAGTAATTTGTATCATAATGTCTGGCCTGCACGGTGGTGAGCATTGGGTGTCGGGATAGGGGATGGGTGGACTCCACCTGTGCAACCATCTCTCTGTCCAACGAGAAGGTCTCGAGAGACAAAGCGGCCATGACTTAGGACAAAAGGTGGGAGGGGCCTGGCAAAAGAGAGCTTACGTGAGAACAGAGGTTTCAAGCGTCTCTGAAAAATAAGGAGGTGGTACATGTACGCTGTATGTGCGGATTTCTGTGTGTGTGAGGAATTGTTGAATCAGTGTGTGTATGTATTGAATGTGTATATTTATTTCATTTGTGTGTTGGATCGAGGGATAGTGAAGGAGAGTTGGGATAGCAGGGCTAGTCAGGGTCAGGGGGCTCAGTTGCTGAAGAGCTGGCCTTCGGGCGGCTGGGGGAGCTTCATGTTCTCTTTGCACATCATGAGCCGCCGGAGCTCCTGCAGCACCACACGGATGCTGTACGAGTTCTGCCACTTGGCCAGTGCCGCCACCGCCCGCGTGTCCACCTGAGAAGGGGAGGTTACAGCCATGTGAGAGACTCACAAAACCAACACACAGCTATATGCAGACATCACTTGGAAAGGACATGGCCTCTGTCGAAGAAAATTGGGTTTCAAACTTTCGCTCATTTTAAAATGTGGCTCAATGGTGACTTCAGCCCTCAAACAAACAAACCCGATTCCTGGACTAAAAACATGTTCAGTGGAGTTAAGTGCTTTTTAGTCCAGGACTAGGCTTCATCTGGTTCTGGAAAACCAGTCCTGCATCTGTAGGTAATGAATCAGATGTGCTTTGCTAGCTGTAGGCTAGAGTCTTTCAGGTTATACACTCAAATACAAAAGGTCTCTTTGATCCAATTGATCCAACCCGAATAGGAAATGTATGACCTGGGACTTACCACACCGTTTGAGTTGTGTACGCCATTCAGATTGATCTTGGTCACAAATCTGACAAAAGGGGGAGACTCTGGGTATCTGGGTCCACATTCTACCTTTAGACTGTACATCCTGTTCTCGTAGATTGTCTGGAAGAAAGACATCAGAAAAAAGGCAAGATTTAAGTCTTGAAATAGGTTACGGCTCAAGATAAAGACTGCATGGTCGTGGGTAACTCTTGGCTATCATCATGAGCAGTTAGTTATGATAGTAAGCTTGTCGTAGGCCTGTGTTTGGGCTGCTGCATACCAGTTTGGTATTGGCCTACTACGTGGTTAATTAAAGGAGCTCGCAAACCAGGGGCTCATCATGGATGTTTCAAACTTTGTCTGCAAAACACCCGTGGCTGTCCCAATAGAATTAGAATGTTATCTATTCCATTTCAATGCGGTCCCACTTCTGGTGTGTGGGGGTCGCCTCCACTGGGTGAAAGGTGATTTATGCTATGTTTATGCTCACAAGCGACGTCAACAAAAACACTTCGTACTTCATAAGCTAGCCATTACCCGAGCAAAATAATGGTTTTGGTTGGGTGAGGACAACACTACTTTAGATCTCAGGGCGGGTGACGTCACTGCACGATGGCTGCTACTAGCGCACACAGCTAACAAGCTACATGTGCATGGTTTCGAGCTGGCCTGCTGCGTTGTGTGCATCAGTGTTTCCACTGCATTCATTTAGCTGAGGTGCTAAAATCATTGCCGCCACTGCAAAATGAAACGTTTATTTTGGGGGGGGGGGGGCATCATAGTATTTCTACCAAACATCCTCTCAATAAAGTTATGCACATCATTCGCTTTTCCTCAGTAAATAGATTTCGCTCTTTGTGCCGCTCTGGCAGCCAAACCGGCCTTCGCGCAAAAACACAGATCCTCTCTTCCAATGCGCTTTGAGAGGAATTAAGGAAACCAGGACAGAGAAAGCAAAGATTTCTATGTGCCGTTGTTTGGTGTGCGTTTGATCCCTCCCACTCTGGGAGGCCCTATGGTGTGTGTGTGTGCGTTAGCTTTTTTTCTTACCCTGGGAGGCCCTATGATCATGCCTGTCCAGCGAGTCAGCATTATGTCCTCATCGTCCTCCAGTCCCCAGCTCACCGTCCCGTCTCCAACACCCTTCTGGCCCTCTTCCAGCTCCTCCAGCAGCCGGAAGTTACGGGGTACTTTGACGCCTATTTAAACAGAAAAGGTTCAAAGCAGACATTTTTCAACCACACATGCCTAGTAGCTTCTGCACACAGACAAGGGTGCCATGTTTACTAAATGGGTTTTATTGAATTACGGAGCAAGACTGAACATAGAAGTCATTGTAATAAGGCTTATGGGAAAACATGAAAGGTCAAAAACTGTTGACGCTTGGGAGATTGAAGGCCACTCTAGTCTATAATGTGTTGAGCAGTACTCCATTACATTGTTCCATTCCTTACCATTAGCTTTCAGGTTGGCCATATAGCCAAACATCAGTGTTTTAGCAGGTCTACTGATAAAGCATTCCTTTCATCCAATTTCAGGCAAACATGTAAGTATGCATTTCAATAGTGATTCATTTAAAACCCTCAGCTAATCAAATACATTATAGTAGGAACCATGTCATGTTAAAGGTCCAATGCAGCCGTTTTTATCTCAATATCAAATCAATTCTGGGTAACAATTAAGTTCTTTACTGTGATTGTTTTCAATTAAAATGGTCAAAAAGTAACAAAACTTGCTTCTTAGCAAAGGGCAATTTCTCAAGCAAGAATTTTGCTAGGACTGTTGGAGAGGTCTGAGAAGGGTGCAACTGCAGCCCGCAATTCGGGGCGTTCCTGCATATGGGCACTCCCATTGCCTCTTTATACTTATATTGGTCAATTTTTAAGCTAAACCGCACAGAAGAGGCGGGCGGGGGGGGCAAAGGACACTACCGGTGTGTACTAGCTACAATTGTCTAGTACACACCGGTAGTGTCTTTTGCCCCCACCTGTCGGGCACTGTTTTCCCGCAGTTCTTTTAACGATGGCGAGGGCAGGTGTTCAGCAGGCGTGAGCGAAGGTCACGGTGTGCTAGCTTTGCCAGCTAGTCCTGAGGAGGACTCCGGTACACAGCAGGCGGGAGCGCACCGTGTGCTAGCTAGCTAACTTTCAAGCTAGCTAGCACACAGTGTCGACTGGCCAATCTCCAAGGCATTCCTAGTCGATCAACAAACATTTCTGTAAAAACCCAACAATATATTTTTGTATTTGTCTCGCGCTGTTTGCGGTAAGTGCACCCAATTCAGCTGCCCTGCGTGTAGGGTAGGCAAAGTGTTCCCATTTTGAACCATTTAATGTGTCTGAAGTACAAACCGCGTTCCCGGTGGGCCCGGAGAGCAAATCAAGTGCACCTATAGGCCTACCGCTGGCCAATCGGATGACTCAGATTACCGTAAAAGAAAGCTTCCTCGAGCGCACAGCAACTAATACAGCACAGAGCTGCTGTTTTTATGATTTAGTTTATGTTTATACTCAGCACTGTCAACACTTTTATAAGTCATAAAATGTGGATGCCCCCTACTTCCACTCACTACAACCAGCACTGCTGCTGCAATGAATGAGTAGGAAAGTGTATCGATAGGGCTTGCTTGCATTGTTATTAGAGGCTTAGGTATTTTTAATATAGAGGAATATTTTACTTTCTCTGGTCATTGGAGTAAAAACTAGAATTTATGCTTGAGGAAGAAACAATGCGGCACGGCACGAGTTTCGCCATCAGCTTTAAGACGGTGTCCCATTTTTGGTCAGTGTCAGCAGAGGAAAGGGAGAGCGGATGGACGTTGAGGCGGACCCTCAGTCTGCTGCGCTCTCCCTCCTCTGAGACTGACTATCAGATGCAGGCCCATCAGCCCAGTAAAATCTAAATAGCAAATTATTTAAATGTATGGGCACTTAGCTGAGCCTCAAGTAATACAACAACTGACCCATTACTGGTGTGATCATGTAGCCTACCTCAAAGAAGAACAATGCATCGGCAGGACAATTTAAGCAAAGCCAATATTATTAATTTGAGTCATTTAGCAGACACTCTTATCCAGAGCGACTTACAGGAGCAATTAGGGTTAAGTGTCTTGCTTAAGGGCACATCGACAGATTTTTCACCTAGTCGGCTCAGGGATTAGAACCAGCGACCTTTCGGTTACTGACACAACGCTCTTACCCACTAAGCTACCTGCCGCCCCGGCGGTGATAATGTATTGGGCCTATACCCTACTGAACAAACCCCACTGCTACAGTACTGTTTTTCATATGTTAATGTTGCATAGGCTTATGTTTAAGTCATGAAAAATAAAAAACCTGAGCTTGCTTGCTTTTTGACTCAAAGTGATTTTGACTCAGAAAAGGTTGGTGACCACTGTCTTGCACTAAAAGGGCATTATGATCATTTTCCCAATATTATACGAACCTCCATGTGGAAATATATATAAAACATTGGAAAATCACGTTAACTGCAATGGGCCTTTAAAATAGCCATCCCTTATTATTCACCTATTCATGCACCTCTGAATCTGACACGTGTAATTGCCTTTAGCTTTCAATTTCTCAAGTTATGGTGTGTACCACTGAGGTGTAATCATTAGTCACTAAAACGAGAGTTTCTATTATTCAAATTCAGGTAGGTACCTCCCCGTTTCGTTTGTTTCCGTTTAAGAGATGTTTTGAAACATTATCAGCGTAATGAATAGCCCCTGGTGTGTACCTTATGACCAGTTGACAAACTAGCTAGGTAGCTAGTGAGCTAGCATAAACCCTTCCAAAATTGCTGATGAAAATGAACATTTCACTCAACTAACCGCTGATAAGGCAGTTGTATAAATGTATTTTGAAAGATTCCAGCTATAGTTAGCTAGTTCAGTTATCCGAAACATTTATGTTAGTTAACTAGTTCTGTTTCAGTCAAGCTCGCTTTGCAAATTGTGTCGGTTCAGTTACCCGCTAGCGTCGTTAGCTAGCTAACGTTAGCGCTGTAGAAACATGACGTTGCAGTTGAATAGGCTACCCAACGTTGGCTAGTAAGTTAGCTAAATGCGCAGATGGCAAAAAAAAAAACTAAATCACCAAGAGTCAATTATGAGGATAACATCGTTAATATACAGTTTATGGCAGAATCAAGTCATGTTTTAAATGCACCACATGAGTTGGGCGAAAGCAGAAAAATACCCGGAGAAAAGCCATCTGAGCTAACGTTAGTTAGCGCGCAATACTGGCTGAGCTAACACCCACATTCATCTAACGTTAGTAAACATGCTGTCTAGGGAAATGTGGCGTCTGGAGATTAATAGCTCATATTGGAAGTTCATATCGACCGCTAATATTTTAAACGTAATATACAAGCTTATCAACTGAATATCACAAATGTGTGAACGGGGAATTAGTTTACCTGATCCGGCGGAGGCCGCCATCTTTATCGCTGAATAGCGGGAACGCGCACGTTTAAGTGCGTCAGTGCAAATCAAGTGATCTGGGGTGTATTCACTCCGCCGTTTCCGTTGCAAAACATTTCTTAAACGGAAGCAAACGAAACGGGGAGGGACCTACCTGAATTTGTCCAATATAAACTCTCGATTTGAAACTGTTTTGCGGAATGAATGCACCACTGTTAGAGCATTATTTTTGTGTGGAGTCGATGGTCAAAATAAGCCACAAAGATTTATTTTTGTTATTCTTGGGGTTTGGGGGTAGAGTTTTATTTATTCATTATTATTATTTTCTCATGTTATTAATGTCATTTTTGTATTTTTATGTTTGTTCATACACCAACAAAACAAAATTCACATTACCACCAACAACGACCATAAATGACAGATGACATCACAATGGTCTTAAAGCCTGATGACATCACCATGGTCTGAAAGCCAATTTAGTAATGTGGATATGAATCAGTCTTCATTGGTTACTGACATGGCTTGTTTCTGCTGGTGCAAAAAGGTATGAGATCAAGTGTGCATCTTAAATGGCACCCTAAACCCTACACAGTGCACTAGCTTCGACCTATGGAGTCCTATGGGTCCTGGTCAAATGTAGTGCACTATATAGGGCGGCAGGTAGCTTAGTGGTTAAGAGCGTTGTGCCAGTAACAGAAAGGTTGCTGGTTCTAATCCCCGTGCCGACTAGGTGAAAAATCTGTCGATGTGCCCTTGAGCAAGGCACTTAACCCTAATTGCTCATGTAAGTCGCTCTGGATAAGAGCGTCTGTAAAAATGGGAATAGGATCCCATGACTAGACCTCACCTCCATAAATTGTATCTCCTTTTTTTTGTCCGTATACTGCAATTAATCTTTAGGCTGCAAATGTGTACAAGACAGCCTAACTAATAATACAACCTTTATATATATTTGGGACTTAAACCAGGTTATTTAGCCTAACAACACCTAGTGTGCACATTCTTTTAAAAGACATTCTGGAAAATTGTTTGACTTGTGCCAATGTCACTTAACATGTAGGCCATCTGGCAGCCTATTACATCTTGTTATAAAGGCAGCTCTGCCTTGAGGACAGAAACAAATGTAAATGGTTAAATTTAGGCAATAAATGTGATTGGTTCAGTTAAAGGCTAGTAGGGTAGGGGTTGGGTTAGCCCAGTCCCAGATTTGTTTGTGCTGTCTGTCTTCTCCTATGTCATTGTCATGCCATGCTATGTCATTGTCATGCCATGACATAGGAGTTGCAAGACAGCACAAACAGATCTGGGACTCGAGCTAGAGTTTTGTTAAGTTTAGGTACAAATAATTGTTTAGTGGTTGGAGCGAGGTTAGAAAACACAATTCAATCCAGCAACCTTGCGTGTGGCAACCCATGTGATATGCCTTAAATCCAACACCAATTTACCACCTAGCAAGTGTATTTAACTCGCACTGGGTGCTGTAAGCTCTGCCCACTGACCATTGAGCTTTAATTGAACCAACCACATTCATTCTGCCCTTGAGGCAGAGCTGCCCTCAGGGCAATATTGAATAAAGAAAACTGTCCCTAACCAATCTGGGTTGTTGTTTGAGGTTTAGGCTAAATCTCTAGTACTTGTTAACATTATTTTGACCAACCCTTTGTCCATCTTTTGGTGAATAAGAGAAAAAGCATTTAGCATTTCAATAAACCGATGACCAACCCACAAACAACATGGAAGCTATCAAAAAACAAGGAAGATGAAGGCACTCTTGTCTTCAAATTAAAATGCCTTTATTGTGGTGGCATGTTCAATTAAACAATATGTTAAAAATGTGGGGGGAAAAAGAAAACAATGGAGCATATCTACAATACTTTATGTATACTGCATAACTTTGCTCTTCAATAAAACATACTTGATATTTGAACTCTATATTTAAAAAAAATCTAGATTGGGATGCCAGATGGTGGTGTCATACATGACTGATTAATTGTGTATCCCCAAGGAGAAGTGTACTCCTGAGTGGCGCAGTGGTCTAAGGCACTGCATCGCAGTGCTAACTGTGCCACTAGAGATCCTGGTTCGAATCCAGGCTCGGCCGCGACCGGGAGACTCATGGGCGGCACACAATTGGCCCAGTGTTGTCCAGGGTAGGGGAGGTTAATGGCCGGCAGGGATGTAGCTCAGTTGATAGAGCATGGCGTTTGCAACACAAGGGTTGTGGGTTCGATTCCCACGGGGGGCCAGTATATAAAAAAAAAATGTATTCACTAACTGTAAGTCTCTCTGGATAAGAGCGTCTGCTAATTGACGTAAATCACAATGGTATTAAAGCCAATTTGAACAATGGTTTAATGTGGGTATGAATCAGTCTTCATTGGTTATTGACATGGCTTATTTCTGCTGGTATGAAATCAGGTCATTTAATCGATTAACTACTTAAATTCTGGTATAGTATTTTTCTCTTAGACCTAGTGGTGAGAATAAAAATAAAAGTACATTCTGATTGACGAATACATAAAAAGTGTACATGAAATGTACATGAAGTTTGGCTTTTGCAAATGTCACTCAACATAACCTGTATATACTGAGTTATTTGAGGTTTAGGATATATAGCTAAGTTCCTCTAATTTAGGCCTACCTCTCCCTTTCCATTGGCTGGGGATCGGGGGAAAAAAGTATTTAGCACTGTCACATTTTCTTGTCAACAGAAAAAACGGCAGAAAGCCAATTCAATTGATGTGGAGCAGAAGACAAGAAAGAAGAAGGAGAGTAGCAATTCATCCCCCTCTCCAATTCCACCTGACCGTTCTGAACGGAATGTCTCCTCCACCTCTGTCCCCTCACCCTCTGACCAACTCTCCTCCCTCCATCCACCTCCCTCTCCTGTTAAATGTTCCTCTCAGCCTTGCTCTCCTGCTAAACACCCCTCTCTCCCCCGGTCACCTGCCAAACACCCTTCCCCAGTGAAATCCACTCCAATGGTGTCCCTCCCTAGTTCTCTCTCTCCTACCAACCTTCTGGACCGTCATGGACACACCAGCCAAGAGGGCGCAACTGTCAGGTAATTCAAACAAAAATAAAATAAGTACAGTGCCATCCTAGAGTCTCCTTGGAGAGGTGGGTTTAGGGCCAGTGTTTATCAAGAGAATGAGTGATAATCTAGGATCAGGTCCTCTCTGTCCATAATAAACTGATTTATTATGATCTAAAAGGCTAAACTGATCCAAGATCAGATTCCTACTCTGAGACGCTTGATAAACAGTCCCAGAAAGTTATTTTTCTCAAACTGTAGTTTTAGGCTCTTCTCGCCCCATCTAGTGGATAAAGAGAGTACTAACCTATTGCCCTGGTTTACTTGATACACTGCATTTATATGGACAGCAATACATTCATAACTACTCAGACTGTGTTTATAGTACATTATAGTATTTAAGAGAGAGACTGTGTAGAGTGATACTATCTCTGCTTTGGAGGCTTTAGACCTGTTTCTCTCCTTCCTCCAGACTGTCTCTTCAGGACTACTTTAGCCCAATGCCGCAGAGGCCTATCTCAGCCGCCAGAAGCCGGACTCGTCCCAGGGCCAGCTCAGCCACCAGAGGGTCAGAGGAGACCCAGGGGGCCAGAGGACAACGGGGGGCAGGGGTCAACATGGAACATCTTGGGTGAACCACAACACACCGCAGATGCAACCACAACACACCGCAGATGCAATGAAAATAAACTCTTTATTGTTTAGAGATCAATGACTGATATAGTATGGGGACAGGGCTTACTATCAAGCATGCCAGTTTTATTAGATCATTATAAACCCATGCATTATGGTCATCTTGGTCTAAAGGACATCCACTCCTTTGTGTACTCACAGAATTACATAGAATTTATCCCTGACCAAGGTGGCTGCCATTGTAATCACATTCTAGAGTTATGAAGGTTTATGACATAGGCCACTCTATGTTTCTGGATATTGTATCTCTATGTGTAAACTGATGGCTGCTTCTTCTTCACAGGTTGCCTAACATTGGCAACACTTGCTTCCTTAACGCCACCCTGCAGTGCCTTCTGGTCCTGCCTTACTTCTCAAAGGAAATCCTACGCCAGGAACAACTCTGGAGCTCCTCCCCCTTCTCCAACCTGCTCAGGTAAGGGAAGGCTCAAGAGCAGACACACACCCACCCACCCACTATTTGTGGTCATAAATTAAAGAAGGGACACACTCTTTTCCCGCCACTTCGATAGAAAGTGATTTTCGTAGAAGGTTAGGAGAGCATTTTCGCTAACCCTAACCCTTTTCCTAACCTTAATCTCAGTCTCCTAATCGGCTACCTTAATTCTCCTAACCTGCTGCGTAAGTTCCTGTAAGCTGCTAGGAAAAAGTCACTTCGGTATCGAAGTGGCATGAAAAGAGTGTTTCCCATTACGAAAGAAAGCCATCTATATTAGAATAACGTGAGCCACAAAACTGCAGCAGGATCTCCTCCTTCAATGATGCGCTGACTTTCTTTAGTCAGTTGAGAGCAGTATCCAAACCAAATATCTTAGGAGAATAAACAACACATTTTTGTAGTTTTGCTTCATTGTCCGTCCTCAAAGGTGAAATTGCATTGTATCGAATTAATCATTTCCAATGATGGGGTGCCGCTAGTTTAAGAATATTTGGATATACTCATCTGCCTCTTCAGCCGTAGGCCAGTAGGTTGACGCCATCCAGTCAGCTGCTAATTTACTCTCTGTCTCCCCTACAGGGCTCTGTCTGATGTGCACCGTTCGGGTCTACCTGACAGTGGCGCAAACCAGGCCTCAAAAGCAGTCCTCATGTGGAAGGTCAAGTACTCCTTGTCAGGACAAGATTTGAAGTATCTGGGGGACTCGCAACAGGTAACTGAGGCGCTACTCTCTTCTGTACGAGCGCTCTTTTAGCAAGGGTTCATTTTCTCTTCATTATTAGATTTTCTCTTCTTCCTCATAGGACGCACACGAGTTACTTGTGAATATGCTGTGCCAGCTGAAGGAGGAGGGCACGACACTGAAGATGCTCGGGGTGAGCTATACCTGCCCTGTTTCCCAGCTGGAGTTCCAGCTTGTGTCGGTGCGCACATGTACCAGGTAAGAGCTCCCATTGGTTCTAATGTATCTACTGGGAACATGATCTTTCTACAAATAATATTACAAAACACATGGCATAACAGAAACATTGTAGAGACCTGATGCATTTTGCTTCTCTTTGTCCTGCTTCTGAAGCTGTGGGCGCGAGTCGTCCACCAGAGAGGACTACAACAACCTCTCATTGGACTTCAGCCCTGAGCGCACCTTGCTGAGCAGCCTAGCACTCACTTTCAAGGTCAGCACTTAGGGCTCAGCACTTTGAGGGTAGAGACTAACACCCAGGGCAAGCTGCCCACTGCCTCAGAATAATGTATCTTGTTATTGTAGTGGTATCATTCGTTTTGTAATGCTTTTGTTTCTAACCCAGGGCAAAAAGGTTGAATTCACATGTGAGGGCTGCAAAGGCCTCCAGGCCTCAAAGGTGGAGCAGTTCCACACACTGCCTCTGTGAGTTGCCCCTTTATAACCTCTCATACGACTGGCAGTGTTTAATGAAATGAGTGGTCCTTGTGTCCTGAGCCTTTAGGAGTAGTTACCTTCCTGAGCAGGTTGTAGGACTTAGGGATGAGCACCACCAAACAAATTTCACTCTTCTGTTATTTTGTTGGCTGGTTTCATTGTCTGTCTGTTAATCTCTCTCCCTCTATGTCTCTGGGCAGTGTGCTGGTTCTGCATCTGAAGAGGTTTGGAGGACCTGGGGGGTTGGAGAAGCTGGAGGCTCCTCTTTTGTTTCCTCCAGAGCTGAGGCTCTCTGATCTCTGTGGGGACATGGTTCCAACCCTGCACATTGCCAGCCCACAGGCCCTCACCAACCAGGCCCCCAGCATCCAGGTGTCCATCCCCCAGACCAAAACCAGCCAGGTCTCCAGCCCCCAGACCCTCACCAGCCAAGTCTCCAGCCCACCTGGACAGGCCAAAGACAGCGCCCTCTGCTGTTCAGGTAGGTCATGGCACTATTCTTGCTCCAACACCACACAAACCACCCACTCCCAAAACGGTCCTGCAGACAGAGAAGCTAGAAGCTGCAAATTAAAATGTTTCTCAGACATATTTAGTGATGTATCTGAGCTGTTTTAGACCAGAGCAATTCAGACAAGTGACCACGTTTTTCACAGCTCTTTATATGTATATTTGACCCCTCAGATTCAAATGACCAGGAACCAGGGAAAGTGTTGCAGACAGCCTCAGTGGTGAGGAGAGAGAGAGAGAAACCAGTGAAAAATAAGTTATGACAGAACACTGAGATAGTTATGAGGAGTACAGATGTAGTAGACCTCCTGCAGTAGACTAGTAGACTGTAGACAGTGTGGTGGACTGTAGAGGAAATGACAATCCTATGATCACATGTGTTTTCTTACAGAAGCAGCAGCCAGTGAAGTCAGTGAATGGCTACTACCAGCTGACTGGCGTAATCTCTCATTTGGGAGGCCTCGCAAACTCCGGTAAGTAAATACCTTAAAACACACACATGCAGATACACAGTACATAAGACTTAGGCTGAATCCCAAATCACTCCCTTCTCCTCAGCTCTCCATTTGCGCGTTCACGTGCGCCTCTGCCATATACACAAGTATCCCAAAGCTGAGGGAGTGAAAATGATCGAGGGTGTAGGGCAGGGATCATCAACTAGATTCAGCCGCGGACCAATTATTTTCTTCTTCCCCAGATGGGCAGGGGTCCGGAACGTAATTACAAATAATTTGTAGACTGCAAATTGGCCGCAAGAAGCCCAAACAGATATAATATTTGACTCATTTCAAACCTTGCTTACATTTGTATACAGTCACATACATCTCTTTATTGTGCGTGGGAATACTTTGTAACAGATTTCCAAAATGAAAATCACTTGGAGCTGATTTGCTGGTGTTTTTACAGTCTTTTAATAATTAAACATTTTTTGCTCAGAAAACATGGGGGGGACCAAATAAAATCACCCGTGGGCCAAATTCGTTCCGCGGGTCGCCAGTTGGGGGACCCTGGTGTAGGGGATAATTAGACCCTCCAATAGCCACTTCGGCCAAGCGAAGTGCCATCCCGACATGCACCATGATATGTTTAGAGTTTGCGCAATTCAAAAGAATGGAGAGGCATGCCTAATTATATGCCACGTGTATTTGTTTATCTCTGATTTCGAAACTTGACACATGTAACAGATAAAATACCTCCCAAATTAAATGTTAACTTGTACAACACACTTCATTACCCACAAGAGCCTGACCCTTGACCTCTAGTCTGTCTTCCTTGTTCCACAGGGCACTACGTTAGTGACATCCTGAATGCCAGTGGAAACTGGTTATGTTGTAACGATAGCCAGGTGTCAATGTCCAATGAAGCCACTGTGCTGAAGACCAGAGCCCGGAGTGCTTACCTGCTCTTCTATATGTTCAGGTACTGCTTACTCTCGCCATCTATATTCTTGTGTTGCTATATACAGTATCTCACAAAAGTGAGTACACCCCTCACATTTTTGTAAATATTTGAGTATGTCTTTTCATGTGACAACACTGAAGAAATGACACTTTGCTACAATGTAAAGTAGTGAGTGTACAGCTTGTATAACAGTGTAAATGTGCTGTCCCCTCAAAATAACTCAACACACAGCCATTAATGTCTAAACCGCTGGCAACAAAAGTGAGTACACCCCTAAGTGAAAATGTCCAAATTGTGCCCAAAGTGTCAATATTTTGTGTGGCCACCATCATTTTCCAGCACTGCCTTAACCCTCTTGGGCATGGAGTTCACCAGAGCTTCACAGGTTGCCACTGGAGTCCTCTTCCACTCCTCCATGACGACGTCACAGAGCTGGTGGATGTTAGAGACCTTGCACTCCTCCACCTTCCGTTTGAGGATGCCCCACAGATGCTCAATAGGGTTTAGGTCTGGAGACATGCTTGGCCAGTCCATCACCTTTACCCTCAGCTTCTTTAGCAAGGCAGTGGTTGTATTGGAGGTGTGTTTGGGGTCGTTATCATGTTGGAATACTGCCCTGCGGCCCAGTCTCCGAAGGGAGGGGATCATGCTCTGCTTCAGTATGTCACAGTACATGATGGCATTCATGGTTCCCTCAATGAACTGTAGCTCCCCAGTGCCGGCAGCACTCATGCCATGCCCCAGACCATGACACTCCCACCACCATGCTTGACTGTAGGCAAGACACACTTGTCTTTGTACTCCTCACCTGGTTGCCGCCACACACGCTTGACACCATCTGAACCAAATACGTTTATCTTGGTCTCATCAGACCACAGGACATGGTTCCAGTAATCCATGTCCTTAGTCTGCTTGTCTTCAGCAAACTGTTTGCAGGCTTTTTTGTGCATCATCTTTAGAAGAGGCTTCCTTCTGGGACGACAGCCATGCAGACCAATTTGATGCAGTGTGCGTCGTATGGTCTGAGCACTGACAGGCTGACCCCCCACCCCTTCAACCTCTGCAGCAATGCTGGCAGCACTCATACGTCTATTTCCCAAAGACAACCTCTGGATATGACGCTGAGCAGGTGCACTCAACTTCTTTGGTCGACCATGGTGAGGCCTGTTCTGAGTGGAACCTGTCCTGTTAAACCGCTGTATGGTCTTGGCCACCGTGCTGCAGCTCAGTTTCAGGGTCTTGGCAATCTTCTTATAGCCCAGGCCATCTTTATGTAGAGCAACAATTATTTTTTTCAGATCCTCAGAGAGTTCTTTGCCATGAGGTGCCATGTTGAACTTCCAGTGACCAGTATGAGGGAGTGTGAGAGCGATGACACCAAATTTAACACACCTGCTCCCCATTCACACCTGAGACCTTGTAACACTAACGAGTCACTTGACACCGGGGAGGGAAAATGGCTAATTGGGCCCAATTTGGACATTTTCACCTAGGGGTGTACTCACTTTTGTTGCCAGCGGTTTAGACATTAATGGCTGTGTGTTGAGTTATTTTGAGGGGACAGCAAATGTACACTGTTATACAAGCTGTACACTCACTACTTTACATTGTAGCAAAGTATAATTTCTTCAGTGTACTCACTTTTGTGAGATACTGTATGTGTACTGTATGTACAGTAAGTGGTTCCTTTCACCCTTCAGGACAGGAGAGCAGCAGGCCTCAGCACACAGGGCCTAATAGGGCCACCAGCACCAGCCTCAACAGGGGCAGAACCTGGCCCAGCCTCAACACCCCAAGCCCAGACTCAACACCCTCAGCCCAGCTTCAACACCCCAAGCCCAGACTCAACACCCATAGCCCATCCTCAACACCCTCAGCCCAGCCTCAACACCCTCAGCCTAGCCTCAACACCCTCAGCCCAGCTTCAACACCCTCAGCCTAGCCTCAACACCTTCAGCCCATCTTCAACACCCTCAGCCCAGCCTCAACAGGGGTAGTACCAGGCCCAGCTTCAACACCCCCAGCCCAGTCTCAACAGGGGTAGAACCAGGCCCAGCCTCAACACCCTCAGATCTGCCTCGACAGGGGCAGCACTGGGCTCAGCCTCAACAGGGGCAGCACTGGCTCAGCCTCACACCCCTAGCCCAGCCTCAACACCCCCATGTTTGCCCCTCTTCATGTCTTTCCCTGACGATATTCCCACTGCTGTGTCAAAAAATAAAATAATAACTTAACGAATCTGATTTCTGATCTCCCCCCACCATAAATGATGACTGGTCTGTCAATCATGCGGCTCAAGGGAGACTTGCTCTTCAACACTAGCATGAGCATCCTTTTCAGTAGCGTACATCATAAATATCTGCCCTTGTTTCGACTACTTGTATAAAGCACATTGACAAACTAATAAAGTATGCACACTAAATGTAGTACACATGTAAATGTGGTGGATAGAGTGTCTGATTATTTAGAGGGTGGACACTGTGGTATAACATCCCTTCTATTTGGTTTGGTTTGAAATCCTCCTGTTGTGAAATACACTGTGGTGTACAACCTCTTATTAATCATGGTGACACCGGATGCACTGCAATATTCGACATTGATCCAGGTCCCCAGGATGCCGGGGGAGGATTTTTTTTTTTTGGGGGGGGTAGATCTGCTTAATATTGTAGATTGTAACTTCCATCAATGTAATTGTCTGCATCACTTCCAATCCCCCATGTTTTTTATATATATATATATATATATATATATATATATATACAGTGAGGGAAATAAGTATTTGATCCCCTGCTGATTTTGTACGTTTGCCGACTAACAAAGAAATGATCAGTCTATTATTATAATGGTAGGTTTATTTGAACAGTGAGAGACAGAATAACAACAAAGAAATCCTGAAAAACGCATGTCAAAAATGTTATAAATTGATTTGCATTTTAATGAGGGAAATAAGTATTTGACCCCCTCTCAATCAGAAAGATTTCTGGCTCCCAGGTGTCTTTTATACAGGTAACGAGCTGAGATTAGGAGAACACTCTTAAAGGGAGTGCTCCTAATCTCAGTTTGTTGCCTGTATAAAAGACACCTGTCAACAGAAGCAATCAATCAATCAGATTCCAAATTCTCCACCATGGCTGAGACCAAAGAGCTCTCCAAGGATGTCAGGTACAAGATTGTAGACCTACACAAGGCTGGAATGGGCTACAAGACCATCGCCAAGCAGCTTGGTGAGAAGGTGACAACAGTTGGTGCGATTATTCGCAAATGGAAGAAACACAAAAGAACTGTCAATCTCCCTCGGCCTGGGGCTCCATGCAAGATCTCATCTCGTGGAGTTGCAATGATCATGAGAACGGTGAGGAATCAGAACTACACGGGAGGATCTTGTCAATGATCTCAAGGCAGCTGGGACCATAGTCACCAAGAAAACAATTGATAACACACTATGCCGTGAAGGACAGAAATCCTGCAGCGCCCGCAAGGTCCCCCTGCTCAAGAAAGAACATATACATGCCTGTCTGAAGTTTGCCAATGAACATCTGAATGATTCAGAGGAGAACTGGGTGAAAGTGTTGTGGTCAGATGAGACAAAAATTGAGCTCTTTGGCATCAACTCAACTCGCCGTGTTTGGAGGAGGAGGAATGCTGCCTATGGCCCCAAGAACACCATCCCCACCGTCAAACATGGAGGTGGAAATATTATGCTTTGGGGGTGTTTTTCTGCTAAGGGGACAGGACAACTTCACCGCATCAAAGGGACGATGGACGGGGCCATGTACTGTCAAATCTTGGGTGAGAAACCTGCTTCCCTCAGCCAGGGCATTGAAATGGATCGTGGATGGGTATTCCAGCATGACAATGACCCAAAACACACGGCCAAGGAGTGGCTCAAGAAGTAGCACATTAAGGTCCTGGAGTGGCCTAGCCAGTCTCCAGACCTTAATCCCATAGAAAATCTGTGGAGGGAGCTGAAGGTTCGAGTTGCCAAACGTCAGGCTCGAAACCTTAACGACTTGGAGAAGATCTGCAAAGAGGAGTGGGACAAAATCCCTCCTGAGATGTGTGCAAACCTGGTGCCCAACTACAAGAAACGACTGACCTCTGTGATTGCCAACAAGGGTTTTGCCACCAAGTACTAAGTCATGTTTTGCAGAGGGGTCAAATACTTATTTCCCTCAATAAAATGCAAATCTATTCATAACATTTTTGACATGCGTTTTTCTGGATTTTTGTTATTCTGTCTCTCACTGTTCAAATACCATTAAAATTATAGACTAATCATTTCTTTGTCAGTGGGCAAACGTACAGAATCAGCAGGGGATCAAATACTTTTTTCACTCACTGTATATATATATATATATACACACATACAGTGGGGAGAACAAGTATTTGATACACTGCCGATTTTGCAGGTTTTCCTACTTACAAAGCATGTAGAGGTCTGTAAGTTTTATCATAGGTACACTTCAACTGTGAGAGACGGAATCTAAAACAAAAATCCAGAAAATCACATTGTATGATTTTTAAGTAATTAATTTGCAATTTTATTGCATGACATAAGTATTTGATACATCAGAAAAGCAGAACTTAATATTTGGCACAGAAACCTTTGTTTGCAATTAAAGAGATCATACGTTTCCTGTAGGTCTTGACCAGGTTTGCACACACTGCAGCAGGGATTTTGGCCCCTCCTCCATACAGACCTTCTCCAGATCCTTCAGGTTTCGGGGCTGTCGCTGGGCAATACAGACTTTCAGCTCCCTCCAAAGATTTTATATTGGGTTCAGGTCTGGAGACTGGCTAGGCCACTCCGGTACCTTGAGATGCTTCTTACGGAGCCACTCCTTAGTTGCCCTGGCTGTGTGTTTCGGGTCGTTGTCATGCTGGAAGACCCAGCCACGACCCATCTTCAATGCTCTTACTGAGGGAAGGAGGTTGTTGGCCAAGATCTCGCGATACATGGCACCATCCATCCTCCCCTCAATACGGTGCAGTCGTCCTGTCCCCTTTGCAGAAAAGCATCCCCAAAGAATGATGTTTCCACCTCCATTCTTCACAGTTGGGATGGTGTTCTTGGGGTTGTACTCATCCTTCTTCTTCCTCCAAACACGGCGAGTGGAGTTTAGACCAAAAAGCTCTATTTTTGTCTCATCAGACCACATGACCTTCTCCCATTCCTCCTCTGGATCATCCAGATGGTCATTGGCAAACTTCAGACGGGCCTGGACATGCGCTGGCTTGAGCAGGGGGACCTTGCGTGCGCTGCAGGATTTTAATCCATGACGGCGTAGTGTGTTACTAATGGTTTTCTTTGAGACTGTGGTCCCAGCTCTCTTCAGGTCATTGACCAGGTCCTGCCGTGTAGTTCTGGGCTGATCACTCACCTTCCTCATGATCATTGATGCCCCACGAGGTGAGATGTTGCATGGAGCCCCAGACCGAGGGTGATTGACCGTCATCTTGAACTTCTTCCATTTTCTAACAATTGCGCCAACAGTTGTTGCCTTCTCACCAAGCTGCTTGCCTATTGTCCTGTAGCCCATCCCAGCCTTGTGCAGGTCTACAATTTTATCCCTGATGTCCTTACACAGCTCTCTGGTCTTGGCCATTGTGGGGAGGTTGGAGTATGTTTGATTGAGTGTGTGGACAGGTGTCTTTTATACAGGTAACGAGTTCAAACATGAGCAGTTAATACAGGTAATGAGTGGAGAACAGGAGGGCTTCTTAAAGAAAAACTAACAGGTCTGTGAGAGCCGGAATTCGTACTGGTTGGTAGGTGATCAAATACTTAACTCATGCAATAAAATGCAAATGAATTACTTAAAAATCATACAATGTGATTTTCTGGATTTTTGTTTTAGATTCCGTCTCTCACAGTTGAAGTGTACCTATGATAAAAATTACAGACCTCTACATGCTTTGTAAGTAGGAAAACCTGCAAAATCGGCAGTGTATCAAATACTTGTTCTCCCCACTGTATATACACACACATTTATACACACACACATACTTATTCCCCTTTATTACTTTCCAACCCCGCCACCCTTTCCCTACTTGGAGTAAACTAGTGAACAACAATGCTTAGGCTTCTACTTCAATCTTATACTTACTGTCTACATTTTATGGACACAGTCAATTTTACAATAATTATTTACATTTTAGTCATTTAGCAGATGCTCTTATCCAGAGCGACTTACATGAGCAATTAGGGTTAAGTGCCTTGCTCAAGGGCACATTGACAGATTTTTCACCTAGTCCGCTCGGGGATTAGAACCAGCAACTTTTCGGTTACTGGCACAAGGCTCTTAACCACTAAGCTACCTGTTTGTTTTTTCTCCTGAACTTCTTCTACTCTCAACCTCCAATCATTTTCATGATGTCCATCCGTTTTGCTTCTATATGCCATATCTTTCTAACTGTGCTCTTTCACAAAACCTCCCAACCTACAACCTATATACTTATTATGGACACAGTATGCTTACATTATTAGTTATCTTGTTATTATTTGTTGTTAGTTGTTATTAGTCCCATCCTTCAATTCCATTCAACACCTCCCATCTATCTTTTAACACCATCCACATAGGACTTCTATTTGCCATATATATTTCAACTGTACTGTGATGTCTTTCAAAAGTTCTGAACCTTTCTATTCTCATTGTTTCTACAGATTGTGAATTGAAAATAATTTTTTTTTGCTAAAAGTATTATTATGTTATTGATCGATTGACTATGACTTTTCAGATCACCCAGTAATGTTATCTGAAAGGTTAGCTCCATGTAAATATTGCAATCCTTTAGCCATTCCTGGACCAGTGTCCAAAAACAAGCTACAAATGGACAGTACCAAACCAAATGATCTAATGATTCTGTCTCTTCGTAGCAAAATCTGCAGAGCTGGGAAGATTGTATCCCCCATATAAATAACATTCTATTGGTAGCAAGAATTTTATATAATAATTTAAATTGAAAGATTCTAAGTTTTGAATCCGGTGTCGTTTTGCATATCAGTTCATAAACACTATGCCATGGGATCGGTACGTCAAAATGCTCTTCCCAAATATTTTGCAATCTATATGGGACGGCTGTCAATCCTTTGGTCCTTAAATGAAACTGATATACTTTTTTATTTATCACAGTTTTCCTTAACCAATTATGTTCATTAATGCAAGGCCAACAGACAAGTTCTTTACCTTCTCCCCCTTCCACTTTCCTCTTCCATTTTTGCGGTAAGGCTGCAATTATTTGTTTGTAATTTTGGGTAGAGCAGACATTTCCATATGTTTTTGTTAGCTGCACCAGTCCTATAGATGATATCATTTACGAAGAATATACCTTTTTTTTGGTCAATTAGACTATTTGAGATTAACCACAATATTTGTTGCATTATTTGTTCTGTCGTTTCTGGAGGATTAAATTGAAATTGCAACCAACTTTCTATATCGCTTGTTTTAGAAATAGTGATATTTGGGAGATTATTTCCTTTTCAAATATCTGAAAGTGAGTGGTTGTAATTGTAACACTCTGGCTCCGGGACTTTTGGATTTGAGCCAGGGTGTATTTGTTTTGTTGGGTATTTGTTGTGGGGTTCGTTGTAAGGGTGTATTTGGTTGGTTGTGTTTTGGGTGTGTTTATTGTGGTGTCGTGTGACTCCCAATCGGAGGTAACGAGTGTCAGCTGTCGGCTCGTTATCTCTGATTGGGAGCCATATTTAATCTGAATGTTTTCCTGTGGGCATTGTGGGTTTTTGTTCCATGTTTCTGTCAGTGTTACAGAGGACTTCACTATCGTCATTTGTTGTTTTTCGTGGTTGCTTTGTTTAATAAAGTCATCATGTTCACTCCACGCGCTGCGTATTGGTCCGCTTCTTCAGACGAACGTGACAGTAATCTGAAAAAAAGGGAAAAATGCCATTCTTGAACATTGGGTGGGCATATTGAAAATGCCATGCAATTTCAATAAAGACAAACAAATGTAAGATAATCCAATTTAAGATAATTCTGTTAACCATTGTAACTCTTTCAGCTCAGGAAGCTTTATCGTCTGGGATTCATGCCGGTCCTAATAGGAAACACAGCAAAGGGAAGCAGCTGGGCAGCTGACGTTATGGAGCCTTCTAACCCTCAATAAGGTCTGGAGGAGGAATGCCACATAAAGATTCAGAGATGCTACGAGTATCTTTTGATGTTACTCTCCAGTTGTATTCCATTTGAATAAATACAGACAAGAAAACACTGAGTTACGGATGTAACCTTGGTCCTCTGAGTAGAGTAACGGGTCGTCAAACGACCAATGGGAACTCCTTCCATTTCACGTGATATGATTGAGATGCTTAATATCAAAGATGTTTACAGTGACGCCACACCCTTACTGTACCCATTTGACCTGTCACTATAAAATGTGATTGGTTCAGTTAAAGGCTAGTAGGGTAGGGGTTGGGTTAGCCCAGTCCCAGATCAGTTTGTGCTGTCTGTCTTCTCCTATGTCATTGTCATGCCATGCTATGTCATTGTCATGCCATGACATAGGAGTTGCAAGACAGCACAAACAGATCTGGGACTCGAGCTAGGGTTGGGTTAAGTTTAGGTACAAATAATTGTTTAGTGGTTGGAGCGAGGTTAGAAAACACAATTCAATCCAGCAACCTTGCGTGTGGCAACCCATGTGATATGCCTTAAATCCAACACCAATTTACCACCTAGCAAGTGTATTTAACTCGCACTGGGTGCTGTAAGCTCTGCCCACTGACCATTGAGCTTTAATTGAACCAACCACATTCATTCTGCCCTTGAGGCAGAGCTGCCCTCAGGGCAATATTGAATAAGGAAAACTGTCCCTAACCAATCTGAGTTGTTGTTTGAGGTTTTGGCTAAATCTCTATTTCCTGTTTACATTCTTTTGACCAACCCTTTGTCCATCTTCTGGTGAATAAGAGAAAAAGCATTTAGCATTTCAATAAACCGATGACCAACCCACAAAGAACATGGAAGCTATCAAAAAACAAGGAAGATGAAGGCACTCTTGTCTTCAAATTAAAATGCCTTTATTGTGGTGGCATGTTCAATTGTCTTCATTGGTTAATTGACATGGCTTGTTTCTGCTGGTGCAAAAAGGTATGATATCAGGTCATTTAATCGATTAACAACTACTTAAATTCTGGTGTAGTATTTTTCTCTTAGACCTAGTGGGAAGAATAAAAGTAAAAGTACATTCTGATTGACGAATACAAAAAAAGTGTACATGAAATGTACACGAAGTTTGGCTTTTGCAAATGTCACTCAACATAACCTGTATATACTGAGATATTTGAGGTTTAGGATAGATAGCTAAGTTCCTCTACTTTAGGCCTACCTCTTCCTATTCTTATGACCCCCCCCCCCCCCAACAGAAAAAACGGCAGAAAGCCAATTCAATTGATGTGGAGCAGAAGACAAGAAAGAAGGAGAGTAGCACTTCATCCCCCTCTCCAATTCCACCTGACCGTTCTGAACGGAATGTCTCCTCCACCTCTGTCCCCTCACCCTCTGACCAACTCTCCTCCATCCATCCACCTCCCTCTCCTGTTAAATGTTCCTCTCAGCCTTGCTCTCCTGCTAAACACCCCTCTCTCCCCCGGTCACCTGCCAAACACCCTTCCCCAGTGAAATCCACTCCAATGGTGTCCCTCCCTAGTTCTCTCTCTCCTACCAACCTTCTGGACCGTCATGGACACACCAGCCAAGAGGGTGCAACTGTCAGATAATTCAAACAAAAAATAAAATAAGTACAGTGCCATCCTAGAGTCTCCTTGGGGGGGGAG